TCATATGAAAGGTGATAGTCTTTGATTTCTCTCATAAGTACTTCAAGTCCTTGTCACGTTCTGCTGGTAAGGCTGTGTCATCTGCATAATGCTGGTTGTTGATGAGTCTTTCTCCAATCCTGATGCCACATTCTTCTTCATAGTGCCCAGTTTCTCAGATCATTTACTCAGTTTACAGATTAAATCAAGTTAAATGACCCAACCTTGACACATGCCTTTCCTGATTAAACCACACAGTTTCCCTTTGTTCTGTTTGAATGATGGCTTCTTATCTATGGCAGGTTATACAAGAGCACAGGTAAGTGTTCTGGAATTCTCACTCTTCAATAACAGTCTTCAAAGTCACCTATAATTGGTTATGATCAACACAGGCAAATGCTTTTGCACAGTCAATAAAACACAAGTAAATATCTTTCTGGCACTCTCTACTTTGAGCCAAGATCCATGTGACATTAGCAATGGTATTTCCTATTCCACAGCCTCTTCTGAATCCAAATTAAATTTCTAGTCAATATTCTGCTCCAATCATTTTAAAATAATCTTCAGCAAGCTTTTACCTGAGTGTCGTTGGGTGTAATATTAACGCTACTGTTCTATAATGTCCACATTCTGTTGGATTACCTTTTATAAAAAATGGGCAGAAATAATTTCTTCCAGTCAGTTGTGGATCTAACTACCTTCCAAATTTCTTGGTATAGATGAGGGAGCCCATTCAGAGCTGTGTCTGTTTGTGAAAGTCCTTCTATTGATACTCCATCAATTCCTAAAACATTCTTTTTGCCGATGGCTTCAGTGCAGCTTGGATTTTTTTAAGTTACATTGGTCCTTGATCATATGCTACTTCCTCAAATGCTTCTATGTCAACCAATACTTTTTGATACTCTTTTCCATCTTTCCGATTCAGTAATTTACCCAAAAATCCTTCAGAGTTCTCTACCGCTTCATTCAATATTTTATCCATAGAATCTTCAATATTGCAACTTGAAGCTTTTTTTCTTCTTCACTTTCATTTTGCTAAGTGTCTACCATGTTCAGGTTTTGTAACTTCAGGTTTTTGCACATTTTGTTAGAATACGTTGCTTTGTCTTTTCAAGTTGTCCTTTGCCATCTTCTGTTAAGCTCTCCTGCTTCACGTTCTCTATGTTCTATGGTGAATTTTAGAGTCCCTTCTGACATCCACTTTAGTAAAAAAAAACCAAAAAACAACCACATAACTTTCTTGTCTTTTAATGAATTTGAGTTATTCTTGACAACTCATCTGATCTTCAATCATTGGTGTTAATTGCATCAAATCTATTCTTTATAGTACTTTCAAATTTTAATGGGATAAAGGCAAAGTCTTTATTCTATTCTTTTCATTTTCTCCAGCTTCAACTTGAACTTGAATATGAGCAATTAATGACCTGTTCCTAGTTGGCACTTGGCCTTGTTCTAACCATTGATGTTGAACTTTCCACTGTCTCTTTCCACAGATAAAGTCAATGGGGTTCCCATGCATTCCATCAGATGAGGTCCACGTATATAGTCATTAATGCTTTTTGAGAAAAGTATTTGCAATGAATAAGTAACTGATTATACAACATGAAATCTCCAATCTTATTTCTATCACCAAGACTGTGTTTTCTAGCTACTAATTCTTTATTTCTAACTTTTGCATTCCATTCACCAACTGTTATTAATGCACCTTGATTACATTTGATCAATCGCAGACTGCAGATGTTGGAGACAGCAAAAATGAAGAAGACCCTCAATGAGATGTTCATAGAAATTCTCTATTTCTTCATTTTTTTGCTTTTAGGGTTCTATTCATATATTTGAATAAAAGGAGTTTTAACAGATCTTCTTTCACTATATATTGATATTACCTATCATTGATAGTATTGTACTTCAGAATAGTTCTTGAATTGTTCTTTTTGACAATGACCGTGACACTATCTATCCCCCTTCATCTTGTTACTCCTAGCACAGCAGATCACATGATTGATTAAAAATTACCAATGTGAGTTCATTTCAGCTCACTAAGCTCTTTCCTCCTGTTCATTTTTAACTACTTCCAATGTTTTTCATAACTTCATAGACGTTTCATAGATGTTTGATGCTGTCTTTCCTCATTCTGAGTTGTACCACATTAGCCAAGACAGTGATACTCCACCCACCTCATTACGTCAGCCTCTGCTTTGAGAAGGTGTCTCGTTCCCAGGCATGTTATTGAATGGCTTCCAATCTGAAATGCTCACATGCTGGCACCGTGTCAGGTGATGTTCCTCTGCTACTCATAGGGTTTCCTGTTATTTTGGAAGTGGATGGTCAGTCCTGTCTCTTAATCTATCTTAACCTGTACGCTCTGCTGAAACTTACCCTCTGTGGGTGATCCTGCTGGTATTTGTAACAGGAGACATAACTCACAGCCTCACAGCAATGAATAAGCCACTACAGTACCACAAACTGACCGGTGAGTAGTGACACAGGTGGGAAAGAGGGTCTAACAGAGGCTGGGGTTGACCTTTCAGACATAGAGGGTTAAAACTCGCTCCCACAGAATGAGAACGACTCATAGCTGACCCTTTAGTAAGTTTCTGAGGCTGTCGACTGGATAAGAGGAGACTGCCAATCTTTTCCCGCAGAGCCACTGGTGGATTTGAACCACTAGAGAAGCTCAGCCTTTGGGTAATCAGAAAAACTCCCTGTAGACCCGCCCACTACCCTTTAGAGGGTTGTTGTTGTTGTTGTTGTTGTTGTGTGCTGTTGGGTAAGAACAAGCTCAAAGTTGACCCTCCAGTAGGTTTTTAGAGACAGAAAAATCACACAGGGGACCAAGGTGTGCCTGATTCAGACCACAATCTTCTCATTCACTTGCTTTGCTGCTGAGAGTGGGACAGTGACTAAGGATGACAGAGGAAGAATTGATGCCTTTGAGCTGTGGAGCTGGAGAAGAGCGCTGAATGTTGTACGGATGGAGGGGAAGTGGCTCCTGGCCTCCAGCTGCCACACTGACATGTAATGAAAAAATCTTACATCTTTTTTCAAATGAGGTGTGGCTTCTCTCATGCTCCCCCCTATTTTTGAACACCCTTCACTCTTGAACTCATTCACTCATTTTGAAGAATGGATGATTCTGTCTTGGAGACAGTGCAAGCAGAGCGCTTCTTTGGAGCAAAGACGGAGAGGCTCCCTGTGACATACTGTGGCCATGTTGTCAGGAGGGACAGTCCCTGGAGAAAGGCGTCATGCTTGGGAAAGTAGAGGGTCAGCAAAAAAGAGGAAGAGCCTCGATGAGATGGGCTGACCCAGGGGCTGCAATAATGGACGTGAGAGCAGCCGTGAGTGGGCGAGTGGTCAAGGACCGGACAGCATTCGCTTCTGCTGTGTGTAGTCACTGTGGCTTGGGGCCACCTCACTGGCACCTAACAACAACGTTCTTAAAACCCTGTCCCCTTCCAGCTTGTCCAGCTCTGTCCCGTCTCTGGCTTTGCCTGAGCTGTCTCCTCAGCCCACCCTGGGTGCCTCCATCCAACCTCCGTATTAATTGTGGGTCCAGTGTCCTCAATAGCTAGGACGTCTCTGATGATGAAGAGCTGTACCCCTTCCTCTTCTCTTTCCTCCTTTCTTCCTCTCTCGCCAGGACTTAGTGACTCGAGTCCTTGAAATGCGGTAACTACTCAGAGGAGCTAATTTTACATTTTATTTCATTCTCATGAATTTGGATGGAAATGTCATTTTTAATCAATTTGAATTTGAATTAAAATGTTTTTTAAAAATTTTTATTTTATGAATTTTAATGAACGTTTACATAGATTTTGGATTTCCATTCATTTGTTGTTGCATTTTTCTCCCTGCCCAACCCTCCTCCCCCAGTTCACTCTTCTTTTTGAAAAATAAAAGAAAAATTCTTTCATTGGTATACAGTCCCCCCTAGTACACTCCACTATGCAACCTTCATTCTAGACTCTTGTCATAGCCGTAATACCCAATCACACATTGCTTTAAAATTTAATTGAATTAAAATGAAATTAAAACTGAGGGAGCTCTGGTGGCCTAGTGGCAAGAAGCTGCACTGCAATTCCAGAGGAACACGGTTCGAATCCAACCCTAATGTCAGTCCCATTTTACAACAGTGGCCCTATGCAATATTTGTCCTTTTGTGACTGAGAGACCTCACTCAGCATAATGTTCTCTGGGGTCATCCATTTTGCATAGTATTTCATTAGTTCCTTGTTTTTCAATGCAGCATAGTATTCCATTGTGTGAATATACCAGAGCTTCTCTATCCATTCGTTTTCTGATGGGCACTTGGGTTGTTTCTAGCTCTTTGCTATTGTGAACAAGGCTGCGATAAACATAGGTGTGCATATATCTGCTTGGGTGGAGGTTATAGTTTCCTTAGGGTATATTTCCAGTAGTGGAATTGCTGGATCAAATGGTATTTCTATTTGCAACTTTTTGAGAAAGCACCATAGAGTCTTCCATAGTAATTGCACCATATTACACTCCCATCAACAGTGAATAAGGGTTCCAGTTTCTCAGCAACCTCGCCAGCATTTGTTGTTTGCTGTTCTGTTAAATTTTGCTATCCTTACTGGGGTGAGATGATATCTCATAGTTGTTTTGAGGTTGGGACTTTCTGATCAGGCCCAGAGCCTTATCATGATTTATCAGTTGGTCTGGTCTTTTTTCTGGCTGCCCTTGAAACCATCAGGTTTCTCAGGGAGTGACTAGGCATGGGGGCAACTGCTATATTTTCCTTCACTTCCTCTTTTTCTCTGATCCTCCTCTTCCCAGAAGGATGTCTTCTTCAAATCCCTGCCTAGCTCGCATCCCTGCACAGTAACACCCCAGCAGGAGTGTGTGTATGCAGCCATCCAAATACAGACGGTTACTCTGACTCAGCACGGAAGGAAGGCCAGGCAGCAGGCATGAGCTGCACTTTCTGAGGTCGCCCTATTTGAACCAAATCCAACTTGCATGCAAGCTACAAAATGAATTTTTGTTTCCTTTTCCAGAAGGTCAGCTCACCAGATATTCTGGTATCTCTCAATCAAGAGGCTCCCAAATGCTCTCCCGCCCCAGTTTTGAAGCAAGAGAACAGCACGTCCAGCCCTGTGGCCAGTCCTTTGTTCTCAGAAGGCTTGAGAAACGTGAGTCTTGCCCCAATCCTTTCAGCGTGTGCTGTGTGATTGTGATCATGCTGTCACATTGCATCAGTGGGCAGGGTGTCGCATGAGCTCTGCAGACCGGCTGAAGCATACGCGCCTCCAGAGGAGAGGTGGCCTCTTGGGTCAGCTCACGTCAGTGCCCATTCCTTTTCTCTGAGATCTTAGCCCCCTCTGATTCTTGGGGGGGGGGGTCTTCATAGCCTCGCACTCTAATTTTTGTCTCTGCATCTGTCAGGCCGCTGTAACTCTGCTTGGGTCCCTGCTTCTTAGAGCTTTGCCTGCCAGGCTTCTTCACGTTGATCAAAACCATAGCCAATGAGACTCATAGACAACCAGGTTTCCAAGGCCATACGTCACGTTGCAGGAAAGGACCTGTTTTTCTCCCATGAGCCATTGGTGGGTACGAACCACCAGAAAGGGGAGGTCTTTGGATTGGCGGTGCGCCCCACAGACCATGCCCCAGACTGACAAATGCCCGAGAGAAAAGCCAACCAGGAGACTGGGCCTGTCTCAGGGCACTTCTTTTCTCTTTAGGATCTTAACAAATCTGTTGCTTTTGAGTCAACTCTAACGCACAGAGACCCTATAGAATAGAGCAGAACTGCCCGATAGGGTTTCCAAGCTGTGATGTAATCTTCATAGAAGTAGACTGCTACCTTCTTCCATAGAGCTGCTCCTGGGTTCAAAGCACTGACCATTGAGGTAGCAGCTGGGACTTGTAACCACTTGACCACCAGGGCTTCTTTTAGGACTTAGACTTAATATGAAGGGGAGGGCGGGAGGGTTTAGGGTCTTGGGCCCTTCTGTTGTGGTTTTTTGGGTAGCTCTGCAATGTCTGAGTGGTTGCCATTTTCCTTAAAGCTTTGATATTAGCAGAAAGATTTGTCCCATACCCTGTAGTCGGACAGAAGCACACGTGAAGTCCCAGAATGAAGGCCATTTTGATCCTCAGAATTTTCCAGCACCTTTATTTGTTTATGTCAAGTTATGTTGTTCTTCTCCTTCCCTAAGCAGTGCATGTGTTTCAACTGGTGCCCAGCCCATCCTCAGTCTCTGCCGTTGTGCACCTCACTCATTGTTGTTCCTTCATTGCTCCTTGCCTTCTTGAGTGTGAAATGTCAGGACTGTTCTCCGTCTGAGCACCTATACAGGTGTTGACAGGCAGCATCAGAGAACTAGTCCTGGGGACAGGGAAGCCTGCATGTCCCCAACAACAGTTCTTCTGCTTGTGTCTTCCCTCTGATGAGCTGTTGGTTTTGCTTTGTTGTTAACCTCTCTCTGCAAGTCCTGACCATCTGCCCCAAGATTTCTTTATTTCAGACGTGGAAGAACTAGTTGGTAAATGAAAGCAGAATAGAGTCAGTGCTGAGATTAGCCAACAAACCCAAGCCGCCAGCACTGACTGAATTCTGACAGTATTCGTGTCTATTTAGTAGTGATAAGGTTGTTTATTCTACCTTCTAGGTTCAAGCACTCTGTACTACTTGTCAACATTGCCTAATCTTGTAATGCCCTAGCCTGTAATAAAGAAGCTCTGGTGTTATAAAGTAACTGTGAAAGGGGCTCTGGTGGCTTAGTGGTTACAGAGTTGTGCTGCCAACTCAAAGGCACATGGTTCAAATCCACCAGCTGCTTCTCCGGAGAAAGATGGGCAGTCTCCTCCCGTGTGGTTCATGGCCTTTGAAAGCCCCCTGGAGACTCACTTACGAGTCAGTTCTGAGTCGACAGTACATAACAACAACATGATAAAGAGATCCTATAGCATAGTGCTTACTATGTGGGGCTGCAAACCAAAAGGTTGGTGGTTTGAATCTACTAGCTGCTCTGAGGGAGAGAGATGGGTGATGTCCTCACGTAAAGACCTGCAGTCTCAGAGGGCTGATGGGAGGGTGCTGTGAGGAGGAATCAGCTTGACTTAGTTTAGAGTGGTTAACCTGTGTGCCCCACTGTAAATACTAAAAACATGAGCACGTATATGAGGTTGACTGCACGTTCTACGTGCCCTACCCATCACCCCTCACCATAACCCTGGGCTTCCCGCATGATTTCTTCATTTAGACATCACACCTCCCTTGCGCACTAGAACCAGCATCCCCAGGTGGATGTGAACCCCAGTCACAGCCATTGTGTCCCCATGTACCCCTCATGGGGCTGTTCCTGCCCTGGGTATTCTCTGTCCTCTTGAGTGTTTCCTTCACAGGATTGTGCTGGTGGGGGTGTGCCCTATCCTAGGGATCCACGTCAAGGAACGAGATCGTGTGACTTTATTGGTAGGCAAAGGACATACCTTGATTAAGACTGGGTCTTCTGTGAAGTCCTGTCTCCATGGGACTGGCTGGGCGATGTGCCCACCTGTATAACCAAGTACAAGCTGGCAGATTATGGGTGTTAATGTGAGGCAGGATGCATACACTGTGCATTTTTATTTCTCTGGTGTTGTGAAACCAGAAGTGCAGGCACAAAGAGGTCTAACTGCAGTGACGTCTTGTCTCTGTCCTTCACTAATTCCAGGGGAGCTTGGTTAGCATTAACAGCACGTGCACAGAGCTGGGCAGCTTTAACACTGATGTCACCGGAGAGATCGAGTTTGCCATCCGCTACTCCTTCAAAACCCATTCTTTAGAGATATGCATCAAGGCCTGTAAGAACCTTGCGTACGGGGATGAAAAGAAGAAAAAGTGCAACCCGTAAGTCCTATCTCTCTCTCTTTCCCCCTCCCTCTCCCTCTCCCTCGTTCTTTCCCTCTTCCTCTCTCCCTCCCTCCCCTGCTCTTTTGGAATCAGATAGACATAGTGGTCCTAAAAGCCATATAGAAAAGTCAAAGTAAAAAAATAACCAAGAGAAGTGTAAAATAAAGACAAAATGGAAAAAATCTTACTTCAATAATCACCATAAACCTTTTATAGATGCAAGGATGTTCATAGGGTTTTCAAAAGCCGTTTAATTAGGAAGTAGATGGCCCATCCTGCTTCCTAGTCGGTTTTAATCAGGGAGCTCCACTAAATCTCATCCATAGTGGGAAACCCTTTTGGAATTTGACATGACAGTGGCAAAGATTTCAGTATCACAGAAACCCCAAGTAATCGCAGTACAGCAAACTGACAGACAAGTGCTCCACCACTTATAACAACGTTCTTTCTAAACGATCAATGAGGGCCCAACTGAATTTTAAATACCAAGGCCCCCCACCAGATCCTGTTTGCCCATACAGAGGCTTCCCACCCAAGCTGATTGTGAATGAGATTAGATACACTTGGTTGCTAACACAATTTAGAAGTGTCCAAATAGTTTGAAGGCCCTCGACCAGGTGGATTGACAAAGTGACTGCTGCAATGAGCTCTTGTGTGTCAGGAAGTGTGAGGATGGCGCAGGACAAGACTGGTTTCAGATTGTTTGTTCATAGAGTCTCTAAGAGTCGTACTCAACTTGATAACACCTAACAACAACAACAACAACAAGATTCAAGGATAGACAAATATATCAATAGAGCAGATTCGAGAGTTCACATATAGACTTTAGCATTTATGGAAATGGATGTGATCAAGTGGGAGCCCTGGTGGCCTAGTGGGTAAGGAGATGTGCTGCCAACCCCAAGGCAGGTGGTTCGATTCTATCAGCTGCTCTGTGGAAACAAAATGGACAATCTCTTCCCATACAATTTACTGCCTCTGAAAACCCACTGTGAGGTCAGCTAAAAGGTGGTTCTGATTCAGCAGCACTTATAACAACAAAAAGAGATAATCAAGAGTCCTTTACAAGTCATTAGGGAAAATGACCGTCAACAAATGGTGTTGGAAAGTAGGCATCCTATATAAGAAAAAGAAAATTAGAATCTTGCACCTCACAATCCATAAACACATAGCAGATGAAAAAAGGATATTTTAACACCCATTGCTCCATTACTGACTCGACTGACCACCTTCACTTGTCTGCGTTAATGACTTAAGCTTCTCTGGCTGGAAACTTCTTGTTCAAATCTTTTGCTCATTTTCCTTTTGAACTAACGGTTAATCATCATCTCATCTGTTTACATAATTAAAATAAACAAATAAACAAACACACACAAAACTCTTCCTTGATTATGTATATCTTAAACCCCTTCTCTTAGTGTACTGCTTGTCTGTCAGGATTTTGTTGTTATTGTATGTTGTTGAGTCAGTTAGAGCCCGGTGGTCCTATCAGACAGCACAGGACCACCTAATAAGGTTTCCTGGCTACAGTCTTTGCAGGTACAGACTTCTCAGCCTTTTTTCCCATGGGGCCATTGGCATGTATTAACTTTCAGTTACCAGCCAGCAGCTTAATCATTATGCCACCAGATCCTTTATGATGGTTTTCCATGTAGAAAATTTGACAATGCCAAATTTATTCCATTTTTCTTTTTTAAAAAAATCTCTAATTTTTAAATTTTTTTAAAATTTTATTTTATTATTTTTACGTGTACTGTCAAATCAGATCTGACTGGTACAGGAGGAGATTGTGCCCTCCTTTTCCAGCAGAGCATCTGTTGGCTAAAAAAAAATCTCTACTTTTTTTGTACTAGCTGACCGACACCTGTACCACTTAAAGGTCATCAATACATGTTTCTTGTAATCAGGTTTTCTTATTCATACTTAAACCCTTTTACATTAGGTCTAGGAGTACTTTTCTGTGCATGGATTAAAGTAGGGACTTGCTTTTACCTTTCTTGCTAGCACACAGTTTGATTACCAGCTAGGGGGCGATGGTGGGGGAAATGAAAGGATGATTCACCCAACCAATCCACTTCCATTCTTAAAAGTGCTGGAAATGATAAACATGCAAGGTGATCGCCCAGCCCCTTGGCAGCAGGTCGATTGCATGAGACAGTTTCCTGCATGGAACGGGCAGTGTTTTGTTCCTACTGGAGCAGACACCGTGGATATTGATTTGCTTTTCCTCCTGATGAGACGAGCACCATTCACAGCATGGAATCTGCTGTTCTGAGGTCCCGCCAAGTCTGTTACGACTCCTATCGGCCGTATCTACAGCGGGGTGGAAGTCGGCCTGCCCTGTGACATCCTCACAATCAGTGTGGTGGCGGGGCCCTTGGCAGCAGTAACTGTGTCAACCCTTCTCTTCGAGGGTCTTCTGCTTTGCCACTGAGCCTCTCTCTACTTAACCAATATGATTTCCTTCTCCAGGGACTTTTCCCTCCTGATAACATGAGCAGAATATGTGAGCCATCCTCACATGTAAGGATCATTCTAGGTGCATTCTAGGGCATATTTGTTTATTCTTCTGGAAGGCCATAGTATAATCACTATTCTTTATCAATAACACAAATCAAAGGCATCAGTTCTTCTGACTTCCTTATTTTTTTACCAACTCTTAACATGCATATGAGACAATTGAAAGGGCATGGCTTGAGTCAGACACATCTTGTTGTTGTTATTGTTAAGTGCCATCGGGTTATAGATGACTCATAGCGACCCTATGAACAAAAGACCTGAACACTTACATAACTTTCGTCGTTTCTCCAAGGTCATAGAGTTTCCAGAGGCAAGCTATTTCGGAAGTGGATGCCACTCCTGACTCTAAGCTTGTTTTAATCATGGAGCTTCACCAAACACTGTCCACATAGTTAGTCCTTAAATAAATCTGTCTTACTTAAAGTCCGTTGATTTAATCACATGTATCTACTTTGTAAGAATAGCTAATGCTTGACCAAACAGCTGGCCACTGTAGTCTCCCAAATCCACACATGAAAATAACTATGTCGTCTAGGGCCAAAGGGAAAGTGTTAACCACTATCAGGGCAAAGAAAACATCTTCCTTGGAGGCTCTTAGTTGTCCTTTCTCCAGACCCAGCAGCCTCTCCTTCTTTTCTTCATAGTCAGGTGAAATATGGCCCAAAAGCAAAGCGTGAGAACATATGTGCTTTCCGTTTCCTGGTGGTTTGTTCCTGGGGTGGTCTGAAGGGAGGAGGTGGCTCACAGCCTCCAGCTCCACATAGTTAGAGGCCTTGAGTGTCAGGTGATCTTAGAGCCTCTGTCTTCCCGTGATCTTCAGCAAATGACAAAGGACACACGGATCGATTCTGAGGAGGGCATGAGGGAAGCAAGGCGCCTTCACAGACTCTAGTGTCAACATTTGGTCAAAGATTCTGTAAACCAGATCTATCTCTGGACAAGAACACTGTGCTTGGAGAGTAGACGGTCATCGAAAAAGAGGGAGAACCTCGAGGGAATGGATTAACCAGGTGGCTGCAGAAATGGGATCAAATACAACGAGGACTGTGAGGGTGGTCCAGGGCTGACCGGTATTCTGTTCTGTGGTACATGGGGGTCACTTGGATTTGGGACCAACTTGGCAGCGCCCACCACCAACACCAGTAAAGCTAGTGCCAAGCACATGGCCTACCAGCCCGGTTTCATCAAGTTCACACTCACTTTTCCAACGAGGCTGTGAGAAGGGGGCTGTGGTCGTCCTGAGCTCCTCAGCCTCACACAACTCACTCCTGCTTCTGCCTTTGGTCACCAGGTATGTAAAGACCTACCTGCTGCCTGACAGGTCTTCCCAGGGGAAACGCAAGACCGGAGTCCAGAAGAACACGGTGGATCCGACCTTCCAGGAGACCTTGAAGGTATTCCTGGGCCAAGTCCTCCCCACCTCAGGCTCGGGGCGGCCGGGTCAGAGTCAAAGGGACAATCCTGCCAAAGTCTTGAGTCAGTTAAACAGAAGTGCAGACGCGTATATTCCTGTAGGTCTCTGTCAATTAGTGGCAAGTTGGTGGCAATGAAGCGTCTGCCTTTGTCCAAGAAAAGTGCAGAGTCTACTGTACTCATGGCGGCTTTGGATTAATGATTTCTGGAAAACGGTGGAAGAGCCCCCAGTGACCTCTAGCCCACTAACCTCCCTGGGCACAGGACAGCTTTCCACCAGGCTGTCCTGCTGAACGTCCATGACCACAGGAGGTGCGCTTGACCTAGGCTACTGCTCCACTGCCATTGAGATGACCCGCATTCATAGTACAGGACAGAGTGTAGAACAGAGCAGAACGTCCCCCACAGGGCATCAAGGCAGTGGATCTTTCTGGAAGCAGCAGACTGCCACATCTTTATCCCATAGGGCTGCTTGTGCGCTCGAACCACTGACATATTGGTTAGCAATGAGCCTGCTGCCAACAGGGTTTCTTCAGTGTAAACAGTACTATTGGGCTAATAACTTTTAAAAGCTACTCTTTCACTCATACCTGACAAACTCCATTGGTTTCTTACTTTATCGGAAAAAGAAATGTTGTGAAAAGTTGTTTGGATTTTTCACTGTTTGGGGGGAACTCGGACGGCTTAGGGGTAAGGTGTTACACTGCCAACCCAGAGGTACATGGTTTGAATCTACCAGCTGCTCCACGAAGGATGAGGAGTCTTGTCCTGTGAGAGTTATTGCCTCTGAACGTCCGCTGGAGACTCAGCTACGAGTGGGTTTTGATTTGACACAACAACAACAACAAGAAGTGGTGTGTGGTCTGTGAGGAAGATGTGCAGCTTGTTCAAAGGCAGCTCCTCTCTGGTGATTTGAATTCACCAGCAGCAGCAGGAGACATCTCCTCCATGCCATTTCCAGCCTCTGAGAACCCACTGGAGGGTTTCCAATGTGAGTCGGTTCTAACACAGCAGTAGTGAGTTGGGTATTTCTTTTTCATCTTGGATATGAAGAAATATTACTTGTTTTAGGGCTGAAGTGGGGAGGGGCCTGCATCACTGTTTTAGGGGGAGTCTTGGAGCTCACGCCTGGTGTGTAGGGCTAGCTGGGAAGGAAGCTGCGTGGAGACCTTGGAGAAGCGGGCCAGGCTAGATGCCCAACGTCCCTGCCTGCAGTGTGAGAGGGCTTGTGGCCTTTCTCGGTGAGTTAGGGTCATCTGTGAGCTCTGATCCAGGGCCCCCTGGGCAGCTGGCATAAGAGCTCCGAGAGTGTCACAGTCACAGTCACGATTTCCTGGGCTTCTCCAGAAGCCAACGACTTCCTGTGCTCTTCAAGGAAGTTAGAAGCAGCTTCATTTCCCAAAAGAGAAGGCGAGGCTTAGCAGCACCCCTAGAAGAACAGTGACAGACCACGATGGACTAGCAGGACTTCCCAAAACTCTATGGCATAGGAACCCGCCAGGTTCTGAGTCAGCAGTGTGTGGTGGGGGCAGCGCTGCCCAGCTGGTGCTGGCGTGGTGGCACCCAGCCTGCTGGGATGACCATGCTGAGGCTGCTGGTGTGGCGGGTCTGATGCTCCTGGCAGGACGGCAGTGGTGCTGGGGGGCTGAGTATGCTGAAGCTGACTGGGGGCTCTAAACTGCTGCTATGGTGGTTCTGATGTCGCTGGCATGTAGTGTGGATGCTTCTGGGATAATGGTTCGTACAATGGTGGCGTTGGGGGTCTTGTTCTCCTGGGGTGGGTGGTTTTGTTGAGATGATGGTGCTGATGCTGATGACCTTTGGGGAGCATTTCTGTGCTCCAGAGGGCCTTAACGACAATCGAAGGTCTACACAGTGCAGGTCTGGCATGAGGCCCAGATCCCATGCTTCTGTTGCTTGAACCCTACTTCCCAGTGCTCACCTACATCACATCCACTGGGGATTAGAGCCATCCTAGGATGGGGTAGCGGCTGCTTAGGGATCTAACAGAGAGGAGAAAACCAACTTCTGGGGAAGCCTGGCCCCGTCAGTCACACCTGTAGAAAGCAGGGCAATCACACTCACAGAAGGTAAGATGATCACACCTGTGGAAGGCAGGCAGGCAGATCACACCTGTAGAAGGTAGGTGATCACACCTGGAAGGCAGGCAGGATGATCACGCCTATAGGAGGCAGGACGATCTCCCCTGTAGAAGACGAGATGGTCACACCTGTAGAAGGCAGGGAGGAATCCCACCTGTAGCACGTAGGATAATCACACCTGCAGAAGGCAGGATGATCACACCTATAGGAGGCAGGACAATCTCCCCTGTAGAAGGCAAGATGGTCACACCTGTAGAAGGCAGGGAGGAATCCCACCTGTAGCAGGTAGGATAATCACACCTGCAGAAGGCAGGATGATCATACCTATAGGAGGCAGGACAATCTCACCTGTAGAAGGCAGGTCATCACACTTGTAGAAGACTGGGTGACCCTCGGCACACAGGCACCTTGACCTGCCAAGTCCATATTGGAGGCCCCCCTTATTCTCCCAGGGTGGCTGGAGTGGGCCCAGGGTGTCCCGTAACATGGTACTCTGAGAGCCAGCTCAGCTCAACTGCACACACTGCTGGGGGTTGACCAGCGCTATCCCCGGGCACACACACTGGGCCTCCAGCTCCAACTCTGTGGTCTGACTGGGTGCAGAGTGAGCTAGGCCTGAATTTGGGTCCTGTGCTGCATCAAGACTTGGCTTCTTTTCCATAAAAAGTAGCTTGGGCGGGCACCGCTGCCTCTCCTGGGATGGGATACAGGCAGGCGGGCTCAGTGCCCACAGCAGTGCAGCTTGTCCTTGAGCTGAGGCCCCTGGGGATTGGGAACTCAGTCCTGGAAATGGCAGGAGGCCCTCAGGAAGCCTCCAGCAGCTTCTACCCCACACCTACCCTGAACCCTCAGAAGCTTTGTTGGGGCCCAGCTCATGCTGTCTGCTCTGCTTCCCTCAGTACCAGGTGGACCCTGCCCAGCTGGCAGCACGACAGCTGCAGGTGGCCGTGTGGCACCTGGGCACACTCACCCGGAGGGTGTTTCTTGGAGAAGTGCTTGTGTCTCTGGCCACGTGGGACTTTGGTGACAGCACAACGCAGGACTTCCGATGGTACCCGCTCCGGCCCAAGGTGAGGCCTGGCTCGGGACTGGCTGCTTCATGGGAACTCCACACTGGTCCACAAAACAAATTTCATTTTTCAAGGGGATCCAAGCGGGCAAAGCCAGTGAGGAGGCAGGGCCCCCAGACACACCGCCCTTGGGCCTGCATGCTGCAGCCTCAGAGGCCTGCATGCACCAACTTCATAGAGGAAGACAGTCCCATGCCTAACCTGTCCTCATGGGTGGTGGCAGGTGGGTGGTAGCTGTGATGTGGAGTTGATCCTGACTGATAATGACCCTATGTGAAAGAGCGGAGGGGCCTGTGAAGTTTCCTCGGCTGTAATCTTGATGGACTAGGAGACCTGGTGGTGTAGTGCATAACATACCAGGCCTTACATGGTAAGGTCAATGGCCCCCATCCACCAGCCACTGTGCAGGAGAAAGATGGGCACGCCCCTCCCGGTGACCATGGCAGTGGGTTCTTGTGTGTCAGGAAGTCTGAGGATGGTGCAGGACAGAACAGGGTTCAGTCTTTTGTTCATACAATCACTGAGTCATGCCTGACGGCAGATAACAACAACAGCAACAACAACAACAACAACAACAATTCCCGTAAAGATTTACAACCTCAGAAAGATGATGGAGGGTCACTGTGGGTTCCAATCCACTTGACGGCCGTGGGTGGACCTTTACAGGACACCTTTTCTCCCTCAAAGTAACTCGTGCATTTGAACCTCTGGCTTCCGGCAGCACAGCTCCTGCCCACCACCCCTGGATCCTCTGAAGCCTTTGCTTTCTTGGGGGGCTGCTGCTTTCTGGGGGTGGGTTCACAGGGATCCTAATGAAGCTATGTCCCCTAACCCTCTAAATGAAGTGTGAGGTGGATTCTATTTCAAGGTCTTTCCTTCTTCCTTCACTTTTCTTCTAGAAAAATCTTTGATGACCAGAGAAGTCAGTTCCAGAAGGCAGAGGGTTAGGGGAATAGGGAGGAGGCCAGACCCACATTCCTGAGAACCCTGAGGAATTCTAGACAGTCTAGGTCCCATCCACTGCCTGGTTAGGGTGCTGGCCGGCCGGGGTGTGGGGGGAGTGAGGCAAACTGCGTTTAGGTTCTAATTTAAAAATCGGGTCGTGTTCAGGTTTTTTAGGACAGTCCTGGGGTAGGAGTACCAGTACCTCTGATGGGTCCATTTCCTCCGACAGCCCCTTCCTTTAATGATTTGCTTTCTCTGGTGCTCACCTACCTCTGAAGGTCCCCTCCCTCCACTGGTCCCCTCCCTCCGGTGGTCCCCTTCCTCGGATGGTTCCCTTCCTCAGATGGTCCTTTCCCTCAGATGGTCCCCTCCCTCTGGTGGTTCCCTCTCTCTGGTGGTCCCCTTCCTCTGATGGTCCCCTCTCTCTGGTTGTCCCCTCCCTCTGGTGGTCCCCTCCCTCCGGTGGTCCCCTTCCTCTGGTGGTCCCCCCTTCTGATCGTCCCCCCCAATGGTCCCCTTTCTCGGATGGTCCCCTTCCTCTGATGGTTCCCTTCCACTGGTGGTCTCCTTCCTCTGGTTGAACTCCTCTTCCTCCAGTGTGGTTCCTTCCTATATCGTGCCCCCTTTCTCCTGGTGGGACACATTAGTTACTGTGGGTCATTGGGGTAACCAAGCTCCTTCTTTCCAAGTTGAGGGTGAAGATCCACCACAAATATAAGGACCGACAAATCCTTCACGTCCCTGTTCCTTTGCCTAAGGGTTTTCTGAGCTTTTAGAGGTTTGGGGAAGGGATGTTGCTGGGAGAGCCAAGGCAGGGGGACCTGAGGGTCCAGGATCTGGGCCTGAGTCCTGCCTCTTCCGCAGGCAGAGAAGTGTGAAGATGGCGTTCCACACAGTAACGGGGAGCTTGCCATCCGGGCCAAGCTGGTCCTCCCTTCAGAGCCCAGGAAGCCCCAGGAGGCTGGAGGAGGTAGGTGGCTTCTTCGGCTCAGTCATCCCTATCAGAGATGAAATCCTGGGGTGGAAGGCAGGCTTGAGGGGTGAGAATTCTTCAGACACAGTCGTGGAGGATCCCTGCACAAGTCAACCAGACTCTTGAGCAGATGCCTAGTCTGCTGGGTCTCAGGAGAGAAATGGATTTCCATGAACTCAGGCTTTATGGTCACTCTTCACACCTCAAAGGACACGAGCTCAGGCCCTCTCCACTTGCAGTGTAGACCGGAGCTGGGCTAGGATGGACCTGGTGGACTTCTCATGGCACCAGGACCATAGAGGTCAAGGGAACAATCTGTTCAGGTCCCCAGAGAAGCTGTCTGTCCAGCAAGAGAAGAATAGAGGCCCTGAAGTCCTCGAGGGTTTTCCAGGAGACGTAACCAGTGAAGCCAATTGCTGTCCACTCCGGCCCTTGTGTGTCCTGGTTGAGCTGTGCCCCACAGTTGCAGCAATTGGTTTGTCAGAAGATAGCCAGGCCTCTCTTCTGAGGTGCTCCTGGGGCACTAGAACCGTCAGCCCTTTGGTTAGCAGCCCCACACCTTGATACCACCACCTAGGGACTCTAACTAGAGACTTCTTAAATAATGTGGGCACATGGGAAACATGAGGGAAGTGTGAAGAAGGAGAGAAGGGGCCATTGCATTAAGGATTCTAGTCACTTCCAGCCAAATTCCTCTGGCAGGGTAATTTCACTGCCAGGGTCACCAGCAGGCCAGCTGCAGCCTGGGGCCTCTGACCCTTTAGAATGGAGTTCATGGCACTCTCTCTTTTCTGGGACCATTGATGACAAGGAAATACTGCATTTTTTCCCTCCTTGGGGTCCGTTGTCTCCTTTCCCCATTTTCTGGGAATTTCGACAATCCTGTTGTGATGCTGACGTGTAGTGGAAGCAGATGTGCATGGAGCAGCCCTGGTCCTGTTCCTGCCTGCCCTCTTGGGACCTGAAGGCAGCAAGCTATCATGTTGGGAGTTGTGGTCTTGAATACTAATGCACCAGAGAAGCGGACTTCACAGTAAACATTGACTTTCCTTCCAGAAACAGGGGACCAGCCATCACTCAATGGTCAGCTCTGTCTGGTGGTGCTTGGAGCCAAGAACTTACCTGTGAGGTCTGATGGGACCTTAAACTCATTTGTTAAGGGGTAGGTATGAGCTTTAATCAAAGAATTGTTGACCAGTGGCTGGTAGTCAAATACAATTCTTGGTGACCCAGCCTGGGTGTGTCATGGTAGAAGTACGCTCCATGGAGTTTTCGATGGCTGGAGGTTTTCCTTCCAATGTGTTCCTGGGTAGATCCAAACTATTTACAGCTTCCAGAGATGATTATTTCCTGATAGACAAGAATCTGCAGTAAACACTAGAAACTAGGTGGCAACTTAAGCACACTTGGTTTTACACTTTCTCTTGAAAACCCAACATAACTTACGTGCTGTTGAGTATAGCTCATTGCAAACCTATGAGGAGCCAAGCTGTACTCTGTCCTATCCTGTGCCGTCCTCATCATCTCTGACACATTACAGCCCACTGCTGAAGTACCTTGTCAATGCATCTCATTGGAGGTCTTCCTCTCCTTTGCTGACCCTCCATATTTTCAAGCATGATGTCCCTTTCCAAGGAAGAGTCTTACCTAGCTACATGTGCAACATATGAAAGATGATGTTTTACCACCTTTGCTTCCAAGAAGCACTGTGGTTGCACTTTCCCCAAGACATATCTGTTGTTTTGACAGTCCATGGATATTCAGTACTCTTCTCCAAAACCACAACTCAAAGGCGTCAGTTTTTCTGTTATCCTTATTCGTTGTCCAGGTCTCTGATGCACAGCAAGTGATTGAGAAGACTATGGCCTGAATCAGGCATGCTTTAGTCTTCAAATTGGCATCATTCCTCTTCAGCATTTGGAGAGGTCTCTGACTGTGGACTTGTCCAGTGAAATACCTCTCCTGATTTTCTTACTGCTGGTACCAAGGGTGTTGATTGGTGATCCAAGATGAAATCATCTACAGGTTCAATCCTACCTCCATCTATCCTAATGTTGACTGTTGGTCCTGTAGTGAGGACTTTGGTTTTCTTGGTGTTGAGTTGTAATCCATACCAAAGGCTGTAGTCCTTGATGTTTTGCAACAAGCATTTCATATCCTCTTCACTTTCAGAAAACAAAGGCATGTTATCTGCATTATAAAGATTGTTCATAAATCTTCCTCCAATCCCGGTGCCACATACTTCACAGAGTCCAGGTTCACAAATTATTTGCTCTGCATACAGATTGAATGGGTATGGAGAAAAGGGTACAACTGTGATGCATATGTTTCTTTATTTTAGACCATGCAGTGTTCCCTTGCTCTTCAGAGAACAGCTTCTTGGTCTAGGTATTGATTCAATATGAGCACAAATAAGTGTTCTGGGATTCCTATTCTTCTCAAATTGTTCTGATCCACAGAGTCAAATGCCTTTCCATAGTCAATGAAACCCAAGTAGACATTCTTTTGGTATTCTCTGATAGCCAGTATCCATCTGACATAGCAATGATAACCCTGGTGCCACAGCCTCTTCTAAAACCAGCTTGAACTTCTGGCAGTTTCCTGTCAATGTCACTGTTCTTGCCATTTTTGAATGATCTTCAACAATATTTTGCTTATATGAAATATTAATGATACTGTTAGATAATATCCACATTCTGTTGGATCACCTTTTTTGGGCATAGGGATATATATAGCCAGGATATATATACCAGCCAGCCAGGTAGTTATCATTCAAATTTCCTGATACGCTGGTGAGCACATCTAGGGCTGTTAGTTAAAACACGTCAACTGGTATTCCATCGATTGTTGTTATACTGTCGACTATGACTCATAGTGACCCTCTTCACCATAGGGCTGAACCCTATCCTGCGCCAATCTCACTGTCTCTGACACACCTACCACCATTACTCCAGTTATTCTGTCAATCCACTTCATCTATGCTCTTCCTCAACTGTGCTGCCCCTCAACCCTTCCAAGTATGATATCCTTCTCAAAGACTGGTCCCTCCTGGCTACATGCCCAAAGTATGTGAGACAGTCTCAAAATCTTTGCCTCCAAGGAGCAGCTTGGTTTCACCCTCTCCAGGACAGACCTGTTAGGTCTCTTGGCAGACCACAGTATGTTCAATACTCATTTCCAGCAACACAACTCAAAGACATCAATTCTTCTTCTGTCATCCTTGGTCATTGTTTAGCTCTCTGAATCATAGGAAGTAATTGTGAAGACCATGGCCTGGATCAGGCACACCTTAGTCTCTATACTGACACAGTTGCTTCTCAGCACTCTGGAGAGGTCCCTGACAGCAGATTTTCCTAATGCAATTCATCTTTTGATTTTCTGACTGCTGGTGCCAGAAGTGTTGATTGTGGAATGGAGCAAGGTGAAATTGTTAACAATCTCAATCTCTTCTCCATCTATCACAATGCTGCCAGTTGGCCCAGTGTCGTTTTCTTGATGTTGAGCTTCAATCCACATTGCAAACTACAGTCCTTGACCTTCTGCAACAAATGAGTCAGGCCCTCCTTCCTCAGTTTCGACAAATAAGGTAATGTAATTTGTATAACGCAGGATTTTTTATGAGTCTTCCTCCAATCCTGATACCACAATCCTCCTCATAAAGTTCAGCCTCTCTAATGATCTGTTTTGCATACAGATTGAAAAGGTATGGAGACATCCCTGACACACTCTTGATTTTCAACCATGCAGTGCAGTGTTACCTTGCTCTGATCTGACAACTGCCTCCTTGTCCATGAGCACAATCAAGTGTTCTGGAATTACTAAAGCCTTTTTTTAATTTTTTTTTTTCTCTCAGTGCCTTCATTGAAGCTTCAACTTGATCTTTCATCATGATTGACTCTTGCTCATATGCTATTTCCTGACATTTTTTAGTGTCAACTAGTTCTCTTTGGTACAGCATTTCTGTGTATTCCCTTCCATCTTTTGATGCTTCATGGATCATTCAAGATTGTGTCTGTAGCATCTCTCATTATTGCAAAACGAGGCTTGAATTTTTCAGTTCTCTCAGCCTTAAGAAATGCTGAGTGAGTTATTCCCTTTTTATTTCCTGACTCTAGCTCTTTGCACATTTCATTGTAATCCTTTATTTTCTTGAGCTGCCCTTTGGAATGTCTGTTCAGCTTTTTACTTTTGCATCTCTTCCTTTTGGCTTCTCGACGTTATAATGTCATTTTACTAGTCCCTTCTGACATGCATTTTTATTTTTTATTTTCCTTCTTTGTGATGACCTTTTGCTCTCTTCATGGGTGTTTTCTTTTATATTCTCCCACAGTACCTCTGGTTATAGTAAAGGCCCCAATTTCTAGAAATTCAGGAGATCTGGAAACGCTGAAGCCAATTTGGAAGACATTTTGACCCGAAGTGCAAATCTCTCCCATCAGTTTTGAAGGCAATCCTGAAAACAGCAGCATGTGTCTTAATGCTTTCCTTAGCACCATAACCTCTCTGGGCTGGGGTTGACAGAACAACTGATACCTTTTGCTTTGGTATTGGAGAAGAGTGCTGAATATTCTATGGACAACCAGAAGAACCAACAGATATGTCCTGGAGAAGGCAGAGCCAGAGTGTTCCTTGGAGGCAAAGATGGTGAAGCTTTGTCTCACATACTTTGGGCATATTGCTCAGTGAGGCTTTTCATTGGAGAGGGACATCATGCTTGGAAAGGTGAAGGGTCAGTGAAAGAGAGGAAGACCCTCAACCTGAGGGATTGCCACAGTGACACAGCAAAGGGTTCAAGTGCGTCAGAGATGGTGAGGACGGCACAGGAAAGGGAGGGTTCAGCTCTTGTTCACAGGGTCGTTATGAGTCATACTCAAGTCTACGGAAACGAACGGTAACTTGGCTGAACACTGACAATAGCAGGGTGGACTTATGACCTGGTGGCTGGTCTTCTCCAAAGAAGTGAACTCTGGTCATTAATCATTGAAGCCCCTTCTGACAGGATGGTGGAACACGGTCTAGCATGTCAAGACAGAATGCAGTCTGTGTCCCCACTGGCCTGTCAGTTATCCACATGGCTCTGGGTGAGTTACTTAACCTGTAGGTGCAGGCTGCTCCTGAGATCAGGCACACACCCTAGGCCTGGCTGTGTCCTTGTAGACTGTACCTTCACATGATATGAGGCTGACAGACATACTGAGAAGAGAGGCTAAGAGGGACCACATGGTCTGAGGATTCCTGGAAAAAATCTAGATCTCAGCTAGAGACAGACGATGCTGTCTTGTGAGGGTTCCGCTGTTCCTGGTTTTCCATTTCTGAGTGCATTTAGCACCTTTGGTCTGTACCCATCAGGAGGAAGGGGATGAGGCTGTGTGAAGGGCAGCCGTCACCTGGCTGACACGCATTTCCTTTGTCCAGCTGTCTCACTCTGCCCGATCAACAAAAATTAAGACTTAAGTCACCAGTCCTAAAGAAGGAAGGCTGCCCCCAATGGAAGCACTCCTTCGTCTTCAACGGCGTCACCACCTCCCAGCTAAGGAAGTCCAGCTTGGAGCTGACCGTCTGGGACCAGGCCATCTTTGGCATGAATGACCGCTTGCTGGGAGGAGCCAGGCTTGGTTCGAGTAAGTGCCTGGGAAGTTATTTACGTGGGCCCATCGTTTGGCCTTAGGGACGGTCTTAATTGAATGATAGTAAAAGGATAAAAAGGGTCCACAGACGGCAGGGATTTAGCTAGCTTTGAGATGACCGCCCTACCTCCACCCTGGGGTGGAAATGACTAAATCTTGCTCACTACTGACAAGCAACAAAGCCAAGTATTTGAGCAATTTAAATCAGATTTAGGTCTCCTAAAGAAACAAAAATTATGGACCTCAAAACAGACTAGGTACAGTGTTTGCTTTTGTTCTCCGCATCCATCATAAAAAGGATTATAGTCTTAATGAAAAATCTCTTCTTAACCCAAACAAACAGCATTTCAGAAAGTGTTTTATCAGGAGGGGACATAATGGTGGTGCTGGTGGTGTTTTGAGGGGTGTGTCCTTGGCTAGGGTGGGCCTGGAAGGACCCTTCACAGGATGATAGTCCTGGGCACAGAAAAACATCTCCAGGATAAACGGGGGGGGGGGAGGGGCGTGGAGGATGGACGGGCTCACAGCAAATCCCAAGGGTTTTCCCTCCGGAAGCAGTCTTGGATGACCTTCAGTCACTGGCAGGGAGTCAGAACTGACACTCCAGCGGGTTTCCAAAGCTGTAAACTGCACAAGAGCAGCCTAACCCACTGCCTTGGGGTTGGTTCTAACACCGAGTTCCTAGGTCTCCAGCGCTCCCTTGCCCAGGTAATCCGTTAAAACTGTTCAGTGCCTTTCACAAGGGCCAAATGGCCAGAGTCCCTCATCTCAAGCCACAGGACAGTGGGGCAGCCGGCCGTGCGGCTTTCCCACCGCCAAGCACACCCCTCTGAACATTTTTCTATTGAAGGGTCTCACCCTCACATTCAGGGTTCACTGGAACAGGCTGCTTTAGTCAAGGTGAAAACACGTTTCCCTCTCTTCCTTAGCCTCATTTAAAAATCTTGTCATCTAGAGGGACCTGACAGTGCTAATACATCATTTGTGTCACAGAGGAACAGCCAGCTGGTGGGACTGACTCGTCACCATCGAAGCTCCAGTGGCAAAAAGTGCTTTCCAACCCCAATCTGTGGACAGACATGACGCTCATCCTGCACTGAAGCCGTGGCCCCCTCCAAGAGCAGCACATGGGTGCAAGGTTCTGGAAGGCACTGGATGGTGGAGCCTCAGCCGGGGGGACTAACCGTCTTTCTCCTTTCACAAACATCTGCAGTGCAAGAAATTCCCTCTCAAGTCATGTGCCATGCAGCTACCACATTTTCAGGTGTTTGTCTATTATTCAAATTAAAGAGTAATTGCTATTATGTAGGTGGGTTGGTGGTCTGTTGAGCAGCAGAAATGGCTGTCAATAAATGTTGATTGGACACCAATCTCCCAGTGTTTATGAAGTCACAAAGGTTGCGGGTATATCTAGTGGGTGGCCATCAGGTCAGAGAAATAAGGAACTCAGTGTAAATATTCACTCTCCCCCCTAGGATGGAACCCAGTGAATACTCACTCTTCCCTAGGGTGGAACCCAGTGTGAACATTCACTCTCCCCGAGGGAGGAACCTAGTGAATACTGACTCTTCCCTAGGATGGAACCCAGTGAATACCCAGGTGGACTCAGTGAGCCCTTCTGCCTATTGAGTTTTTGGGGCTGCAATCTGCAAACCCCAGGTCTTTCCTTCCAGCTGCATCTTTGACCCACTAAGCAGCTGGTCACCAGCCCAGCTTGCAACTGCCACTCCCTACACCACTGTGGGCAAGGCTTCTCAGAGTGGTGTATCCAAGGAACCTTGTCCTCGAGTCTGATTCACAGGGACCCTCCCCTGGGTTACCAAGGCTGCCCATCTTTCCACAGAGCCGCTGGGGGGACTGGAAAACCAATGACTGCTCAGCAACAGGTCCTGAGGCCACCAGAGCTCCTTGGGGGGTAACACGCCCAATCCCACCCACTGCTGGATGATCACCATGAGCCTCTATCAACTCCACGTTTCTAAATCTGTCTGGCCATCTCTCCCCTTTGAGCAGGAGGTGGATTTGGAGTGCTGACTTTTCGGTTGGTGGCCACAAATCACCCTGCTGGGTGACCCCTGCTGTTGGAGTGGACTCAACATTGTCCTCATGAGTGCTGCATGGTGACCTGACAAAATGTGACATAGGGGCGCAGAGTCCCTGTCCCAGAGCGTGTAAGCAGACAGGCACCCGGGCACATGGCCTGGAATATCTTTTATTTCACACGGTGAAGGTGGAATGTGATCCACAGGGCATCGTAGCTGAAGAGGGCAAGGCAGCAGGAGAAGGGAGGGTTGGGACAGCTCTTTGGTGTGCGGTCAGATCTGGGACTGGTGGGAATGCGGGCCCTTCACAGCTGGGGTCTGACGCAAACAGCATGCGTGTTCCAAACTCGCCACTTTGCCTGAACACAGAGGTGCACACTCAACCATGAGTATGACAAAATAATAATAAAAAAAGGACCCATTTTCACAGAAGGGATGGCGGCAGGGGAAGGACTCCCGGACAGCCACCAGCCACGCCAGACTAAGTGCCGTGGTTTCCACATTTAATTCTTTTAATATTCTGTAAAAGGTAACAAAATATACAGAACAAAACTTTCCCTTTTAAAGCTAATGTTACAAATCCGTATTATCACTTATATATAAATACTATATTCTATTGCTGATCATTAATTAGGTGAAGAAGTCCGACGGTGTGTCCCTCTAAATGTTAAAGCAAAACAAAGTAAAAACAGTTTAATAAGCATGAGTGTCCGCCTCGCTCGCTTGCTCTGCGTGAGCGCTGTGGGATTTGGTCGGCTGACTGTACCGGAGGGAGGAAATGTGTGTGTGTGTGTGTGTGTTAGACTCAATTTGCACCCCTCAAAAAAACCCCCCAAACATACAAAGATGGATTATTCCTAGAAATCAAGACCCAAGATCAATTATCAAACTAACTCCAAACACAGAAGAAAATATGGCACAGAAATGAGCCACGGGTGGGTTTTAATTGTACTGACACCTGCCGTAGGTGCGAGTGTGAAACCTCCTCTCCCGACTTTTCTAGGCATTGTTCCCTAAACTCCAATCAGTCCTGCTCCAAGCACAAAACAGGAAGTGGCCGTGTGATCCTAACAGAACACCTGTTTGGCACTATGATACAATTGGGTAACAGCCCAGAAGCCCTCCGGCCCCCAGACGCTCCCACTGAAGTGAACTACTCGCGCTGGAAAGAAAACTGGAATATGATGAGGGGTGCTAGCCGGCAAATCCCAGGAGCACGCGCTCAGGGGACAGTCCTGCCTCGGCCGCGCCTACATGGCCTCGAACTCGTCGATCCTCTGCTTGGTGTTGCCCTGCCGGATCTGCCGCAGGGTCTTGTACTTGTCACGCCCCTGTCGCATGTTCTCATTGTGGATGATGTCGTTGTGGGTCCTCTTGTTCTCGTCCCGGGCCTGGGACAGCTCGTTGGTCAGGGTCTGCAGCGTGAGGGAAACCAGTCAGGAACCCGAGCTTTCCACAGGCCACAGATGACCTCTACGTGCCACCTGAGATGCTCCTTGGGAAAGGCTATGAAGGGGGTGAAGGGTCTTGGGGAGGTGAAAGGGAGAAGTGTGGATGCTAGTGGAGCGTGCTCTGGTGGAGGGGGCAATGGATGGTCAATGTGCCAGGGTCAGGACGTGAGCCAGCTCCCTGGAGCCCGAGGCACAGCGGGTCTGTTACTGCAACGTGCCCACTTTCCATTGTCACGCCTTGTTACTAAGGCTTGGCCAGGGGCCCCATCTCCCCTTATTCCACACGGCCTTTGATGCCAGCCCCACCCCACCCCTGTGGCCCTTCACTTCTGCAAATGAGCGCTCCTCTCCTGAAGCCCCGCCTGTTCCTAAGACCCCACCCACTCGCCCTAAAGCCACGCCAACCCAGAACCCCACCCACTCTCCAACACCCCACCTATGTCCATAGCCCTGTTCTGCTCTCCCACAGTCCCCTCCTTTTTCTGAAGCCCCACTCCTCCCAGAACAGCTCTCCTCTCCTGAAGCCCCATCTGTCCTCGAGACCCTTCACCCCCTTGAAGCCTCATCCAGCACCCCACCTCAGGCTGGCTCTGTTCTAAATCCAGTCTGTCCTCGTGGTTCCGTCCATCCCATGTCCCCACTCTGCCCTCCCACCCCTGAATCCCTGCTAATCCCATTAAGCCCTCCCACTCTCCCTGCTCTCCGCCCATCTCTGTGGCCCCACCCTCCTGTCACAGCTCCCCAAGCCCCTCCCCTCCCTGGAGCCCTGCCCTGCCCCCCAAGACCCACCCCACTCTCCGGGTAGCCCCTGGCCTCCACCACTCACCCTCAGCTGCCGCTGCACGCGCTCGTTCTTCTCGGCCTCCGTGATGCGCTTCTCCTCATTGCGGTCATCCATGATGCCCTCACTGGACAGCTCGGCGCTGTAGCCCGTGTACTCGCTGCCCTCCTCCTGCATGTTCTCCTGGACGTGGAAGTTCACCGGCTCGTACACGGGAGGTGGCGGCGGGGGCGCCGTCATCACCAGGTGCAGTTCCTCCTTGGTCTTCACCAGGTCATCCTGGGCCTCTTTGGCCTGGGGGTGGGGATCGGACAGTCAGTGGCAGGCCTGGGACCCTTGGCATTGCCCTGCAGGGCCCCACCGCTGGGCACCTCATGCAGCACAGGGCACAACTGCGAGGCTGGGTGGGGCCTTATCACTTTCAAAGTGTCCATTTTTCCTATTCCTTACACAAGACGTTTGCAGAAAAAAAAAACAGATCAAAAGAACCAAAACACTCGGACGGTGCAGCACTGGAACAGGGTCCTGCCATTTCGGTGTCACCTGCCTGCCCTGTGGGCCCCTGTGGACAAGCTTCCATCCCCAGGACCCTTGTCCCTGTGCTTCACCGGCAGCGTGTGGACCCCAATCCCTCTTCACCTCACGGGGAGCTTCCTTCTACCTGCTCGACAAGCAGCTTCAGTCACTTACTACTCCTTAGGATTCTGTCCAAGAACTTTTGTGGAAGAACTGAAATCTTCCATAATTCATGAGTGAATAGGGACAGGTCTGTGCGGGCAAATGGGGAACTATTCCTGGGAGAAGAGGTCCCAAAATGTGGGGGTGAGGAGAGGCCAGGTACTGGGGAGTTAATGTCCCAAAGTGCCACGACCTTCCCAGGACCTGCCTCCCAGTGGACAGGTGGACGGACGTGGCTTAAGACAAGCCCTGTGGCCCCTAGACCAGATCTATCCTCATCACCTGGAGGTGGGGTGGGGCTCCTGGGCTGCAGACAGAAGCGTGAACGCTCGCCACTGACCAGCTAGCTGGCTTTTCCCACCTTCAGAGGAAGCGGAGGCTCCTCCTGGTCACGGCTAGTGCCTGGCCATGCCTGGACTTAAGCTGAGGAGAATCCAAGTTCCTAGAGGTCTTCCCTGTGTCACACTGTCCACATCAGCAGGTGGGTGGGGTGGGAAGTCCTGGCCAGGCCCTGCGGCCCACTGCTGGGGGCACAGGAGTAATCAGATTGAAAGCGGTTCCCGACAGGGGGCTGCCTGCACGGGGTGGCCAGGCCACGTGGGTGTAGAGACAGAAGCTGCTCTTTGTCCCTCAGCCGATCCGCCAGATGCCCGCCCTCGTGTGCATGACAAGCCCATTCCTCGGGGGATTTCTGCTGAAACCATAAAACCGGTATTGACGGGGCATTGTGAAATGGCCTGGGAGTCTGCAGTGCAACGTGCCAGCCCTGCCAGACCTGGGCCGGCCACGCCCAGTTCCACGGCACCTGCACCCACACCACCCCGCCCGGGCCACTCACCCGGTGCTGCCACTCTTCCACTTCGTCCTCCTTGCGCCGCCGGGCCTCTTCCAGAAGGGCGATCTTGGCTGTGTACTCGGCCAGCTCTGCAGCCTAGCAAGGGGAGTGAGAGTGAGTTCTGGAACCCTGGCATCAGCGTCCACTCACACACGAACCTCCAGACCAGGGCCCATGGAGGTGACACATCGTGTCCCTGCAATGCCCCCCACCCCTGCCAACACTGTCCCTTAGGGCACCGAGGTACATTTCCAGTCACGTCATATCTTCCTGCTTCCCCATCCTACTGACCACAGCTGGATGGCCTGGGCCTGGCTGGCAACGCCAGGCCCCTCTCCACCATGGCTACCCTACACCCTCCACAGATCTTGTTACACCCAGCCAGACACAACCGAAGGCAGGTGTCACTGCTTCTATCCCCGGCAACACCCTCTCCATAATTCAGCATCCCGAAACTCCGAGGTCCGCACCAGCTGCTCCTGGCTCTTTATCTGATCCACCGCCTGGCGCTCCAGCTCCTCCTTGGCCCGCAGTGCGGCCACACGGTCGGCCTCCAGGCGCTCCGCCTCCTCCTGGGCCCGCTTCCTCTCCTCCTCCAGCTGCAGGGCCCTCTGGATCTGGTCGGAGAGTTCTAGAAGACACAGACCACAGCTGCTGAAGAGCCTTGGGAGTCCTCGCCTGAAATCCCAGCCTGATCAAGGTCACGGGGGTCATCCAGGGCACCCCCAAGCACCAAGACTCAGTCCCAGGGGAGAAAGAACACCACCCCCAAACACTGTGGGTGCCGTTGCTCCTTCATGTGTGCAGATGGGACATCTTCATAAAATTTCTCAAACTGGCAAAATGTGGCTCTCACGGGCCGGGAGGTGACCTGTGCCCCTTGGGACCCTGCACTCTGCACACTAGGCCACGCCTTGCTGGTGAGAGCTGCCCATGTCCTCTGCAGGCTCCTGGCCAGTGCTCAGGGCCCGCCACGTGGCCCGACTGCTGGGATGCAGGAGAGAGCTGCAGTGCAGGAGCACTGAGCCCACGGGAGGGACGACAGGCAACTGAGACAATGTCACTCTATGGCTCTCAACAGCTGCATGAGGAAAATGGGCTGATGCAGTAGTTGGTCGTGGGCTTGTGGGGACACCTCAAAGGTGACTATCATAAAGCTATCCCACAGAACCCAACACAGAGGATGGCCCCGTGACCTGCTTGTGTCTGTGGGGGTGGCTTCCTGCGATCATGTGACTTCCAAGCCTATTTTTTCTGAGTTGTGCTCACTGGGACATGTAGAGTGCTGTGTGCACATGGTCCGTCTGTCTTCCTGGGAGAAATCTTGGTAATGATATATAAAAGCCAAGTCTGGGATGACGGCCTGGAAAGCCTGGATTCCCTCTTCCTGCCTGCCCTCCCCTGGTAATGCTGGACCCTGAGCCCAGCTGAGTAAGCCTGGCCCCTTCTCTTAATGCCTAACCTGGGACCTAGGTGGGTGGATCTGGCCTCTCTTAGTGCCCAAGTGCAGGCCCGGTCAGTAGTGCCTAGCCTCCTCTCTTAGCATTCGACCCTGGACCCAGCTGAGTAAGCCTGAGTGTCTGAGTGAGCTGGCCTCCTCTTTTAGTGCCTGCCCCAGGCCCCGCCAGGTGAGCTGGTCTCCTCTCAGTGCCGGACCCTGGGCCCGGCCGGATGATCCTGGCCTCCTCTCGGTGCTGGACCCCGGGCCCGGCCGGATGATCCTGGCTTCCTCTCAGTGCCCGACACTGGGCCCGGCCAGATGATCCTGGCCTCCTCTCAGTGCCCGACACTGGGCCCGGCCGGATGATCCTGGCCTCCTCTCTCAGTGCC